TGCACACGTACTTCCACGTGCTGTCGGCGTGCCGAGCTCGGCCTCGATTGGAGCGTCCCTCTTGTCAGGCTGCGACTCCCGGCTTCAAGCCGTGGCCACCCCCGCCACATCCTGCGGATGTGCCACGGTGTGCCAGGCCTTACCTGGTGCGCCGGGCCGTGGTGGTCTGCGGAGGTAAAAGCTCTCGCAAACCAGCAGTCCTGGTTGTTCTCTTGGCATCGCCAGTCTTGCCAGACGTCATTCTAAAATCTGGGCAAACGGTCAAAATGGAAATAAGAAAACAACAACATGGAAGCTGGGGTAATATTTGAAAGCGTAGGTTTTCAAAATTTGCATGTGTGACGATAGATGCTGCCTTTTTGTCAAGATACTGCCTCTTGTTTATTCATTCTGCTACTCAAAAGAATAAAAGAAGAAAGTCCGTAAGATGATTTACCTTTTATTGACTTTCAGTTGTCTAATTTGTTTTCATTCCTGTATTAATTAGAATTAATATATCTACATTTGGCTTCCGGTAGAGTGAAGTTATGTTAACTAATTGACTGTGAGGCTGATGAGAAAACAGGAGCATCAACTGATGGTGGCTGCTAGGAGTAAGAAATAGCTCTCCGAGAAGCCAGTTTGTGAAAAGATGGATTTGACACAGAATCCATTTATGGATTATTATAGGATCTGTTAGCTACCCAGGTTTCACTTCCTTTAGTTAAAACATGTACATTTTTTGATTTAACGGTTGCTTGTAGTGTCTGTAACTGTAAATAGCCATTATTTGTATGCATGTTAAGTATTACTGTGTCTTAGTAAAATTGGGTTTAAGAGAATGAGGAGTAAGGTTGGTGTACGTGTTTGGCATAAGTTTTTTTATCAAATAAAAGTCTCCACAAAACCGTCTTTTTTATTGTATCTATTTTTGATTGAACAAGCTACATATGTATGTTAAAATAGACATAAAGTAAATATGCATGTTAAAATACATAATTTGGCTTTAATATATGTATGTGTGATTTCCCACGCACATTTTTTTGGCAGAAAATGTATTTGGCATTTTTGGTAGTTTTTGGCAGAATCTGTCTTTATTCCCCCTAAATTATTCTTGATAGTGGAATTCATTGTTGTAATAACCTTGCTAAATACCTAATGTAACTCTGCCAGCGATCACCATGGAACAACCCCAAAATGTAAATAAAAATAATCAAGTCCGAAACATTAATTTCCTTTGAGCTGTAATGCTCAACACATCACAATGCCAAGGACGGGACTTAAAAATATGTCTAATTCTCTCTTTGTCATTTCAGTTGGACGCATTGTCTTTGAATTATTTGCTGATGTTGTACCTAAAACTGCTGAAAATTTTCGTGCGTTATGTACAGGAGAGAAAGGAACAGGGCCTACGACTGGAAAACCTCTCCATTATAAAGGATGTCCTTTCCACAGAAGTAAGTTCTATGAAATCCTCTGTTTTCCTGTTGGTAACGGAAGTCCTCCATTATCAGTGTCTGAAATAATGTTAAATAATATTTTGGAGCACTTGTTTAAGAAATAACTTGACTGAAAGTAAGTTTTTGACTTTTTGATCCTCCTAATGACTAGATGTTCTTACCATGCATTGACAATAGTAAATCATAAATTTACTAGTAAGTTAGTAATAGTAAAACTAGTTCACTGTGAGTTGTAAATAGGCTGAAATGGATTTCAGGTAAAGGATTAGATATCAAGTGATGTCTGCTTAACTGAAAAGGAGTACTTAGGGGACACTTGATAAATAAAATGTGGTTTTTGATTTTATGTAGGCGCAGGTGCTGGTGACAGGGATTGCTCTTCACCTCTGGATTGTTTTTCTTCATGCCTTTCCTGCCTTGCTACTATATTTTATAATTATTTTCTTTTACAGTTATTAAGCAATTTATGGTTCAGGGTGGAGATTTCTCAAACCAAAATGGCACAGGTGGAGAAAGTATATATGGTGAAAAATTTGAAGATGAAAACTTTCATTACAAGGTACTGTATTGAAAATAATAATTGTATTCAGTTTTTGAAGTTTCAGTGATTTTTATTTTTCTTCAAGTTCAGAATTAGCGCTCTTTAGTCCAAGGTTAACGTATTTTTAAGCAGTGGAAAGAATGCAGCAAAAAAGCCCAAAACTAGTTTGTCCTTAAAGTCTTTGTTGAATACAGAACAAATACATGTATGAATACATACAAAATGAGGTCAACCTCATTAAGGCAAGGACAACCAGAGTTTAAATTTTCTTTTTAATTGCACCATCAGAAATCAATTTGAAACAATATTTTAGTTCTCATCAAAGTAGGGATATTATTTTAAGAGTGGCAAATTTTGTCACTCTGAAGCATATACAGTATGTTAGCATTAAATGGATTTTATGCTTTTTTTTCAGGTACTAATAACATTCATAAGATTAGATGTGAGAAATACCTTTCTTAAGAAGTGGGGAATCCATGGTAGATTGCAGAATTAATCCAAATTTAAAAGAAAGCATTTTCCCCACTACAGTTATTTTCAATGATATGAGAAGTAAAAGGCTACTTACAAATGGCTTTTTTTCACCCAAAATGTTGGAAAAATGTGCTGTGAAAAAAGCAAGTTTTTGAATATGCTAAGGTCTCGATTTGAGGATGTCATTTTAAGAGATGCTAGCTTTGATGGCAGAAATTCCTACCCCTCCCATTACTTATTCCCACTCCTGTATCAGAGCTCACCATTTCATTACTAGCAACCATTAGCGCAGTCCCACAAGCAGTTTTGTCAGCCCAGCTGCGGGAAGAGAGGAGGGAGTTGTGCTGCGAGAGTAGGAAATTCTAAAACAGTCTTTGTCCTCAAAATCAACATCGAGTGACATCAGGAAGACAGCAGGTGCATGTGCTTTACACACACAACAAGTACAATTTTTGAACAACAGTTTTCTCAGGATGTGTCTTGTGTCTTTTCTTGTTTCTTTTACAAAGGCATAACCTTCAAAATGTCCATTACCATTCTTCAGGCTTTTCTTTGTCATCAAAATCAAATGCAGCTGATGCTTCCAGGGTCTGTCTTTTGACTTAAGATTGACTTCTTTTTTATGCTTTTGAAGAAGAAATGTTTGCCTTCTGTGTTTTTAAATCTTTTTTTTAAGCATTTTAGTTCTACCTTTCTTTAAAAATGGGTATTCCAGAAAGGGAAGAAGACTGCTTTTCACCATACTGTACAGCAAGTCTGTGTACCTTAAGCCTACAATTTATACAGTATTTGAAAATCTCCAAATTTTAAGTATCACCTGTACACTGTGACTTACATTTTTTGGCTAGCAGACTTAGCTATTCTGGAGAAAAGTGGCAACCACATAATTGTTCTGAGTGCTCATCTGTGTTCTCAGTTGTACATAAAGGGCTGTGTGGCTGGAAAAAATCCCCTGTGCTTAAACTATCAGTAATTGCATCTTGAACCTGAGTGGGATTACTACTTGGAAACAACAAAAATAACATGTTCTGCAAGTACACCTTGCAACAGCCAGGACACCCACTGCTGTAGGTGTAACGATTCTCAGCATTGGCATTAATTGTTTTCATGTCGTGTTATTATGTGATAGCATATGAATACTCCTCAACAACACTGACTAAAATACTTACTGACATCATTGTCCCATGGTTAAAACAAAGCCCTGACTGCAATTGTGCTTGCCTCCAAACAGTATTTTAGGAAAAGAAAAATATGGCAGTCCTCCACTAATCAGGCATCAAAGTCCATTACCAAGTTCAGAGCAACAGATGGAATGTAGCTCCAGCATTCACCATAGAGTTAATTACAGTTGTGAGAGATGTTCTCTGAAGTCTGACACTTGCTATGGTGGTGCCCATAGCACTGCTGCTTAAAGTTACTCTTCTGCATTGGTCCTTGTCACAGAATCTCTAGCTCCCTGAAGAAGGAGACTTTGTGTCATCGTTACTTTTTTGGTTGCACTGTCAAGTGAGATCTGGAATGCAGATGATCCCCATTTCTGTACTTCTCTGACTGCTCAGCTATGACAAAAGTTGTCAACGTGCCAAGGATGAGTTGAAGAACTCACTTGGATCTTGTACAGAGTCTGGGAGCTCAATTCCCATCGTCTGTTGGCCAAGCATGTTAGCATTTTAGTGGGAATTGAAATGCCTCTGCTATGTAGAAGTTCACTGCATCTTGCACTTAACCTAGCAGTCCTGCGAAGCGTCCTCAAACCACTGTCTCGGACAACAATGAGTTGTTTTTATTGACACTTGAGGACACTGGAGCTACCTCTTTGTTCTTGTGTTGTTTGTATGGTTTCCTGTAAATTGCAATAAACTGCAAGACTTTGTCAGTAGTCAGCTTACCATGTCAGATCAATCCCACTAGGCTTTTTTTGGTGTCACTTCTCCAGCTAATGGCTGTGCTGTTGTGGAACATCCAACTTACACAGTCCTCAAGCAGTGTTGTTATCATGGCATAGTTTTGCAAGCCTTGAATCCATCAGAGGATCTGGTTTTGTCCAGACTTTTTTACTTGCTTTATAAGCATACAAAATGACAAGCAGAAACCATCATGGGAAAGACACTCTATCTGCAGTGTTTTTCAAAACACTCATGGCAAAAAAATACATGAGTGACAACAGTTTTGTTTATAAATAGGGACTCTCATCATGGGACTAGTGTTGAGACTTGGTTCCAAATTAAATGAGGTTGCATGTAAGTGTGAAGATCGGAGCCACCAGACTGCTGTCCGTAACTTTCCAACTTGTCCTCCAAATCTTTACAGAAAAAAGGTAAACCTGCAGGTGTAAGGTAACACCAGAGCTTATTGTTACTTGGCTCTTTGTTTACAAACCATCGCTGTCTAGCATTAGTTGTAATTGAAAAAAAACCCCAAACCAGTAAGATTTACAAGTCTTACTCTGCCTCTTGGGCAGTGAATCAGTGACCAGCCTCAAATGGCGTTTGCAAAAATCTCCTATGGGGGAACCCTTCTGATTAACTTGTTTGCCAGCAACCATGATGCAAAATGTCAGATGTTTGTTTTGGAGGCTGCCGTCCCGCAGGGTTTCTAAC